TTATATATATCTACACACACACACATATATATATATATATATATATATATATATATATATATATATATATATATATACCAAGCGGTATACCCTAGCGTACCACTTGGTACACCCGTACCATACCGTATCGAGCAAAACTCGAAACGCCAATACGGTTCGAAATTAAGAACCTTGCAATAAAGCACATGAAATGTACTTGTCTTTAATAGAATGACTTCACAATTTTTTTAATTACAACAATCATGTTTTAATTCCTCTGTTGGGATTCAAAATCATCCCATATTTCTAGTTCTAAACACCTAAGAACTTTCTTGATAAGGATGTTGAAAATGTACATATCCTAATGTAACCATTATCTCAAGGTCCTACTTGAAACACCAAATGCAAGTTCATTCTTGCATGAAATGATACTTGATGTTAAGTCACCAGTGACCAAATGAACAGGCAGGTGTGCTGGTGGACAACATTATAGCTCTGTGGAGATAATGATTGTGCTAAGCAGACAACCTTTCATTGAACGGTAGAACCACAAATGAACAAATTTAATGATCAAGCAAGTGAGATTATCATTCTAATCTATTCTGAAACGAAAGATGTCGAAGCATCAATAGTGCAGCTTCAAAGATATAATGAAAGAAATTATTGCCATTAGAACTGAGAGCAAAATAAAAGATAGAATCCATACACAAGTACCTCTGGAAAACAAAGAACCCTTAATGTAAAATCTCCAAATATATACTTGGTATATCTACCTGCCCGGTCTAGCGAGAAAGAAATCTTCTTCGGGCGAAGTTGCTTTTTAACGAGCAAAGCAGTACCAGCATACTTAGAGTCTGAAAGAGACCACCAAACACGATATTCTCCAAAAGGGGGATTTGACAAAGCACGCAATAGCACCTAGACAGATTTGTGAAAACAACCATGGATCAAATATTTAACATCAGGATGTTCATACAGACTCAAAAAGAAAAATCAAAAGAATAGATAGATGTTTAAGATGGGAAAAGAGGCTTAGAGTTTCATGTGTTGGTATCATAAGGATATTCACAAATGAACATCGGCAAGTATACTGATCTCATTGCAGGAGCAAACAACATAATTAATGGAAAGGAAATGATTACCAGTCTTTGGTAGTTCATCGGCATCCAATGGTACCAGTGCCATAAAGGGAAGACCAAAAGTCCAGAACTGTGCAGATCCAATGGAAAGGGTGGGAAGAAAGAAACATGTCATTGCTAACACTGACATTACCATGTCATTATCATTACTGGATTAATATTGCTTAAATTTTAGGCATCACTTGAATATAGCTCATCCTGAGTAAATAATTCTTTAAGGCCAACAATGATTACAAATGTGACATCAAGTTAGTATAAGAATGATTTGCTTATTATTATCTGGATGAATAATAATAATAATAATAATAATTATTATTATTATTATTATTACTATTATTATTATTATTATACAAGTAGCTTCCATTTTGGAAAAGAATAAATTGATATTTTTTTTAACATAGAATTCATATAAACTCCAAATATATTTTGTTGTTTTGCTGATTATGAACATATTAATGCTTTATTTAAAATTAACAGTTGGAAAACTGCTAACAAATTAAACCTCTTGAGAACAAAACCTCAAGATAGTCAATGTGACTAAATTATTTGAAGATCCATGAATAGCAGTGTCTGGAATTGATATATAAAAACAATTTAACATGTTGTTGGTTAACTCTTTTGCTATTGGAGTAGTTCTCAGTGAAGGTAACATTACAATTAGGTTATCAGCCTGGTCTCAATCGAATCATAGGCAGGACATCAACATCAATTTCAATTATCGAAATCAAAAGAAATAGATAACTGGACTATCCCCTCTATGGATGCACTTCAGACCCATGAATTTAAGATAATAAGATCCATGATCACTGCATGGATACTGAAAATAAGAAATCAACACAAAAATTTGCATTATTTTTTCAAGAAGATTATATGAATTTTGACTATAGAGTTTGTACACGCACAATATTGCTTATCAAATTTAGCTTAGTGCACAGTTAAGTAAACAATGATTACCTGCTTTTCCTCACGCGAAGAGCTTGTGTCATCTTTTAGTTCATTAGGATTTTTAGGAGCACCTTTGGATCCAGCTGCAGGCATACGCACTTCCTGCAAATGCAGATAATCTTTACCAAAAGGAATTACTTGGCAGTCATTGTTCAAACAAAATAAAGGGAATATATACAGTGTAACTCAGATGTTCTAAGTCATGAGAAAATTCTTCATGCTGTTCAAAGAGTTGCAAAAACAAGAATCAGTTTAAAGAGAGAAATTTGACTGCTTCAAAATTAATAGATCCTAAAGCATCAACAAACTCCTCTTACCAGGCTTTAAAGTTGTAAATAGAATGTGCTAAGAGGTACTTGGCTAAATGTTAATTTTGGTTAACATGCCTAGTGTGCAACCCCACAGGGAAGTAATTTATCCTTATACAAAGTGCTTATATATATTGTTGATCTTTAACCTTTCATTATATCTCATTTACTTGGCTAGAATTATTTCATGCAAAATAATGATAAAGGAAATATTTTAAACAGCCAATCTAGAACATTCAACATAACTAGGTCTAAATGTTTATTAGGCCACATCTAGTCAAGCTGAGACCAATTTTGTAAGGTAACAATGAGTGTTCGTAACTTTATGCATATAACATAACTATTACCACTAACTTTATGCAGTGCATTCGTCCAGGTATATTCGAGAACACGTCTCCATGCAAAATTGTTGTCCCGAATGCAGAAAGGTTTACCCACTTCCATTCATCACAATCGATTATAATCCCCAAAAAAAGTAGATGATTAGACCTAAGAAAGGCTCCAACTTAAAATGAGGGTGAGCAGTGAAAGAGAAATCAAGAAAACCCCAATTTTCTGAATCCTCGTCATCAAAAGCAATTCCTTTCACGCTTGCCATAAAGCCAGAAACGTGTATCAGATGGCAAGAAGCCGCAATGCAACGTCCGAGACAAGCCCGCTGAACATTTAGTAGATGGAGGGAGAAGGCAAGACACAGTAAGAAGAGGAGGGACCTGAAAGCAGATGACATGGGGGTCGAGGGACTGGACGAGGCGGGAGAACTCGGGCCAGTTGTTCTTGGCGCGGAGGAGGAGGCTGTTGGCGTTCCACGTCAAGAACCTCATTGGCGCCTCCCTCTTCTCTCCCTTCTCCTCCTCGTCTCCGCCACCGCCGCCTCCGCCGGGGCAAGGAGGAGCAGAGTCTGCGGTGGAGAGCGCCGGCTTCTTCGAGGGCCCGTCCTTCGCAATCGGCTGGAAGAAACGCTTCATCGATGCCTGCGTTCGCTACCGGCTTTAGGAAGGAAGAAACCCCAGGAGTCTCTTTTCCCCCGCTAACGACTCGACTCCGGTGAACCCAACTCTTTTCTCTCTCTCTAATAAATAAATAAATAAAGGATTTCCTTATTCTCAACGATCACTCCAAAATCTCAAAAATATCCCTTCAAAAATTACAATATATATATTTTTTTCTATTTTCTGAACCACCCTATGGACCGGTCCCAATGGATGGATCGACCGGTCTACTAGAAAATATTATTTAGGGTTTAGGCTTCTCTCTTTTCTCTCTTTTATTTCAAAAAATATCCCTCTATCAAAGCACATCTTACTCTTCTCTCTTCTTCGGAGTTGTTTTTGTAATCTTCTCTCGAAGAAATCATTAGTGCTTTGTGTTCTTTCTAGAATAACAGCATTTGAGGTAAGTGGCCTTCCATATATTGTGGTCTTCCCTCTTATTTTCCTTTCTTTAAAGTATTTCTCACTTGCGCTTTATAATGTTTTGTGGTTTTATTATTTTCCTCCGATCCAAGAGAGAAGCTTATTGTTAAACATGTAAGCTTGATTAACGTTTTTCATTAATTTTATCAAGTTTGATTTGTTTAAAGATCATTTTACAATGAATATATTGAATGATTAACATTATAGTGTTTTCTGAATATAAATGAAAACACTGTAAAGAATTTACCAAGACATTGAAACAATACCATCTAATGCAAACATAATGCAAATGACGTTCTATTATAATTGTTTAAAGAGTGTGCAATAGAATAAATGACAGAATTATAGAAACGAAGGCTTTATATGTTTTTATGCTAATATTACTTACATTGACTTCAAAATACAAATGAAAATACTGTAGCGATATCGTTTAATCGTTTATATGACAAACATGATATAAATGATGTCATATTAAAATTGTTTGAGATGACATATACTAGAATGAATGAAAGACTTAGAAAAATAAAGGCTTTACAGTATTTTTATGTTAACATTACAGTGTTGTAAAGACTTCACAAAAACATTATAACGATATCGTTTAGTCACTTATATTGAAAACATGATGTAAATGAAATCCTATTATAATTGTTTAAATGATATGTACTGGAATAAATAACAATATTAGAGTAATAAAGTCTTTCCAGGATTTATTTTGATGTTAACTTGACAATGTTTTTCTGATTACGAGTGAAAACACTGTAAAGACTTCACGAAAACACACAAACGATGCAAATAATGTCATAATATAATTGTTTAGATGGTACGTATTGGAATGAAAGATAGAGTTGGGAAAATGAAGGCTTTACAGTGTTTTTATGTTAATATTACAGAGTTTTCCAAATATAAATGAAAACATCGTAAAGACTTTAAAAAAAAAATTACTGTAAAGATATCGTTTAATTATTTATATGAAAAACATGATGTAAATGATGTCCTATTGTAATCGTTTGATGATATAATACCAGAATGAATAATAAAAATAAGAAAATAAAGCCTTTACAGTGTTTTCTGAATACAAATGAAAACACTATGAAGACCTCACAAAAACATTAATCACTTGTATGGAATACATAATGCAAACGATGTTCTATTGCAATTGTTTAGCAAGTATAATGCTGAAATGAATGAAAAAATGAAGAAAAAAAAATGCCTTTACAGTGTTTTATGTTAACATTATATTGTCTTCTGAATAGAAATGAAAACACTATTATAAGGACTTCACAAAAACATTGTAACAATATCGTATGCTAGTGTTTTTATCACATGTTTTTTTTTTTGTATATGTTCTCTATATTTGTATTTGTAGGGATGATGCTCTTTTGGATAATGTATTCTTCATTCTCAATAATATTGATAATCAAAGGAGAAGTGTTGAACTAGATAAGAGCCAATAGTCAGCACGTATAATTAATAGAGATGTCACTCCTAATGGGATGAAAATAACCCAATGTGAGTTGAGTCATTCAGATTTAACTTGAATGAGCCATATTTTTCAGTTAAAAATAAAGATAATAATGATAATAATAATAACAATAAGTGATACGATTGGACAAATTAAGACTATAGACAAAGTAGATCGATTATCATTAAGTTATGTGGCGTTCGAGGTATAATGATATATGTACATTAATTATATGTTTCTTTGATTTCATATGCAACTTATTAAATGATGTTTTTCTTGAAATGTATAAGGAGGATAAGGTTGCTGGAGATGAAAACGTCATGATAATTATATTTAATCTAAAGCATTTATTATGAGTTTCTTCTTTAGAGGTTTTTGAGTTATTATTAATTATATATTCCATGTCACAATTTTATTGTAAGGCATTTTAACTTTAATATCAGTTTTAGCTTCGATTTAATTTGTTAATAGACATTTCATGACTAGTTAACTGTGATGTAGAATATTTAATCTTATTTATAAATGAATAAATAGAATAAACCCTACTAATATGCATAGAATAAACAGAGACCATTATGAGTGTTTTAATTAGTTCATTGTGTTGAAAACCAAGTATTCATAAATCAGGATTACACACTGAAGATGAAGATGAAGATGATTATTGCTTATATACATAAAGGATTTGGTGTTGTGATGTCTTATAAAAAAAAGGCATATCTAGAACATGAAATTACACTGAATCAAGTTCGCGAACATGAACTTAATTTCATTTTTAAGGGAACTTAATCTTTACAATTATGAGACAATAGTTCAATTGTTGACAACATCTCAAGGTAGAATTCCATCGAAAATACATTGTCTATAGTGTTTCTGAACTATTAGTATTTTTGTGTTCGATCGAAAATACATTTGTCATCGAAAACATATTGTTGAAGATTTGATCATATCTTCTAGTTTAACAAAATAATTTAAATTTAACCAGCAACCTGTCAAGACTTAATGTGAATATTTCGAAATAAAATGACATCAATACACAGTTTCTCCATAACTATACAGTATTTTATGATATTATAATATGTTTTAGTGACTACATCGACAACTCTCTAATGATATCATAAAGCACTGTAAAAAATTACTATAACATAAAATAATCACACAACAATAGTGAATGTGCCCCCAGCAATAAAGTCGATCATATATTAGAAAAATAGATTTCATCTTCAATAATAGATTGCACAATGTGATTATAGATCACAGCCTCAAGAAACATGGTAACAAAAACACCGGAATCATTGCTTCCAAATAAAACAAGATATCATATTGGTAATATGAAATATCCAAAGTTATTTAAAAGGAAGGTTAAATGTGTGGCAATCCATTCTCTTTTGCTAGCATCACAATATTCACAACAATAAGGTTCGGAATTGAAATAGTAAAATATATAACACATGAAAACTGGACATACCTTCTTCTCCAATGTCATTCGATACCTCCTCACAATCCAAAATGAATTATAATGTATAAAAATATTTTCCTTAAAGTTCAAGTGCCAATGAAATTTTCTCTTCGAGGGCACAAACATAAAATCAATGGGTCCATCAAATTTTGGATTGATTTGATAGCTTAGGTTCCACATCAAAGTCCCTGCTTGCTAATATTTTTTTTATATTATAAAATAATAACCTAAATAGTTAATAAATATTAGAAATATATAATTTAGTAAGAGATAATAAAAAGACATTACTCGCACTGCACTTGGTAGGTAGCCTTTGATGCAATGATGCTAGAATATGTGTCAATCACATCTCTGTTCATCCCAATCCAATAATATCTAGAAAATACTATTGATGTGATTATAAAAAATACTATTCATTTATAAATAAGATTAAATATTCTACATCACAGTTAACTAGTCATGAAATATCTATTAACAAATTAAATTGAAGCTAAAACTGATATTAAAGTTAAAATGCCTTACAATAAAATTGTGACATGGAATATATAATCAATAATAACTCAAAAACCTCTAAAGAATAAACTCATAATAAATGCTTTAGATTAAATATAATTATCATGACTTTTTCATCCTTAGCAACCTTATCCTTCTTATACATTTGAAGAAAAACATCATTTAATAAGTTGCATATGAAATCAAAGAAACATGTAATGTACATATATCATTATACCTCGAACGCCACATAACTTAGCGATAATCTTGATCTACTTTGTCTATAGTCTTAATTTGAATCGTATCACTTATTGTTATTATTTTATCTCCCTTTATTTCACGTTATTCCTTATCATTATTCTTGGTCTTCTTGTTGCTTTTCTTATAAGTGTATTTAGTTTTTTTTTTTCCTAAGAAGATGGAGACTTCAATAGAACTTTTTTTACTTACGAGTCATAAGGTTCTTTCTTCTTGCACCTTTGGCCTTTAGATCTTTGGTCATAAGGTTCTTTATTCTGCTCTCCTCCACAATAGTCCTAACTTCCTCCTCTATGGTTCTCACATTCGGCTCCTATAAAACACAATACGAAAATGATCTTAGTTAGAATAGGCAATGTAGTTTATGATATGCACTGAATTGAAATGTCTCCTTAGTAGTGACGATGTTGTTATCAACCAAAAGAATTACCTCCATATCTAATAGAGATAATTCTACGATAATCTTCGACACAGAGTTAAACATAAGTTTAGAAACAAATCAGCCTAAATAAAATATATCCAAAAGATATTAATACTCTTTACATTTGCAGAGGACACCTTTAACAACATTTTATTAATGGTCCTGAACAAATTGCCTATCAAAACATGTGTGAAGAAGCATTTAAATAAATCAGATCAAACAATAGAACATATTCACATAATCATCTATGTGAAATATAACAAAGGATCAATTAATAGCAAATTCAAATGGCAATGTGGTAAAATATAATATGATATACATTTATGCTTATGATAAGAATGACTAAGTACCCTTTTAGATAGTTGATGGGGCTCTCTTTACCATATTAACTCAATCAAATGTAATGAGCATACTAGCTTGTGATTCATATAGAGTTTAGGTTCAACGATCCGTGAACTCGAGATCACTTTTTAAATAGAAGTTTTGATGGAGGAGAGGACTATCAAAGAAAGAAAGACTATGCATAAAATCAAAATAAAAAAAC